TGGACCAAAATGGTGAAATAGCAGCTGATCTGAACTTCATAAGCTGGCTGGTTTTCCCCAAGAAGGATTTCATAAAAAAGAAAATGGTGATTTTTGAAAGACAGAGACTTATCATCAACCAAGGTGTTTTGTCATGGCTAAAGTTGCTCAACAAGGTGGGTGAAACATTGCTATCTTTCCTCTTTTTTCTAAAGTTTAGGACCCATTTCAACTGGGCTAATCACCAAAGTTGTTGAGCTTCACAGAGAATTAAACATGAAAAGTAGAAACCTTATAGTTTTCTTAGGCTGCTTGGGAAAGTTCAGTGTTATTCCATTTTACCATTTACCATTTAATATCTCCATCAAACTTCTGAGAAACTGCAAGTGCTGAGTAATGTGTTCTTACTAGCTTCAGGTTGCTTTTTTCTTTGTAAATAAATAGCACAGAAGAAGGCAATGCTATTGACCAGTGCCTGGATTCAGGTTTGGACTTGTTGGAAGAAATATCCATCTGGGTTCACTTCCAAGTGAGAAGAAATACACTGGGAACATGGAGGCTGCTTGGAAGGATAGTTTAATGGTGAAGCAGAACCACCAAGCATGTGTGATTCTGGGTAGCTGACCACATGAAGAGAGAGAGAAAGAGAGAGACCCTCTCTTGGGCTTTGAATTTGAGATTCCTGTTCCTGTGGCAAAGGCATGTATCCTACTGGTTGCTGTCAGACTCCCATGCAGCTATGCAGTCATAGCTGAAGTTGTCTGTGTCCCAGGCTTGGTTGAATCTTGCGGGGTGATGCAATGAAGGACAATTTCCTATTGTGGCTGAATGGCTTTGCCCTGAAGGATAATCCCATCATCCTGGAGCTGAGGTCTTTTGTTTTCTAGATAGACTGGCCCAGGGATGGGATCCGACCAGTATAACTACCGGTTCTGTTGCTCTGCGTTGTGTGCGCATGCACGAGTCACATGAGTTGCGCGAGTTGCACAAGTTGCATGAGTTGCGTGAGTCGCGCGAGTTGCATGAGTCGCGCGAGTACAATTTACGGCCTGCTGAGCAGTGCTGCGTGCAGGTGCGCAGTGGTTGGAAAAGCCCTTTTTTCCTGCTTTTTCAACCATAGCTGTGCTGCACAAAGCAGCTGAGGTTGAAAAAGCAGAAAATAAAGGACAGGTGTTCTTCAGAGCAACCGGTTCTACAGTGCTGGACAGAACCAGTAGAATCCCGGCTCTAGACTGGCCCAGTCTTGTCTTGTAGATAAGCTGGCACCAAAATATCTGTGGGGGGCAGGGAGCTGGGGTGTTTTGTTTCTGTTTCTTTTAAGGTTTTTTATTTCTCTTTTAGGGGAAATATTCTGCCTTTTTAATATTTCCTAGAACATTTCACTCTTCTAGGAGAGGGTTGGGTGCTAACTTTCTACAGACTGAATCAGATGAAATTGAAACATTATTGGATGGAAGTCTTGTTGGTCCTATTGGGACATAGGTTTTATATTGTCCTGCTTAAGCAAAGTCTTTTCTGAAAGGGCAGGTCCATAGTTTGTGATGTTCTTAAGGAGACCAGACCAGGTCAATGTTATCCATGCCTCTCTTTCACCTCACTGGAATAGAGCAATAGAACTTCTTCTCCTAGGAATGAGGCCCAAGGCTTTCAGTTCACCATGAAACACCACTACTTGACCTAGGAAACTGAAGCACTGAAACAAGACTTTGATCTAAAGAAAAGTCCGTCCTCATATTGGCAGTAACAAGGGAGAATTTGAAAGGAAATGCTACTTAAATTTGGCCTTTTTCTATTAAGAAGGCATTTCATCTGTAAACCCCTTGTAGGCCATTGTTTACCTTGATTGTTAACTACCTTTTGTCCCTTTGGGGGAAAAGGAAGTCTGCAAATTTAACAAATAATAAATTTGAGTCTTCCTTTCCATGCCAGTTGATGTCATCTAATTATAGTTCTTCACCAGAAAGGACCCTTTCTTGGACACCTAGCTGAGCCTTAGAAATATCCCTTTCTGACAGAGAGTTCATTCTCATATCCAGAGGTGGTATTCAGCAGGTTCTGACCAGTTCTGGAGAACCGATAGTGGAAATTTTGAGTAGTTTGGAGAACCGGCAAATACCATCTCTGACTGGAGATTTTACAGTATCCTTCCCTTGCCACGCCCACCAAGCCACACCCACAGAACTGGTAGTAAAAAAAATTGAATCCTGCCACTGCTCATATCCCACTGTTCAGAGTATTGCAGCATAAATTCAGCACCAGAAAAGTAAACACAGATGTCTGAGACTTCATTTAACTTCTTTATAAACACATAAAGTAAATTTTACAATACCAGTTGTAGATTTCTCCAACATGGGGCAAACTCAAACAGAAGCAGACATGTTACAGGTTCAGAGCAGAACAGCAACTCAAGAGCTCAGAAACAGTTTCACTTTAGTTCAGCAGGCAAGCAAGATACACAGCAGAGGAGAGAAGCATTTTCATTTTCAGTAGACAGACTCAGAGCTTAAAATAGCTTCAGAGCTGCAGAGCTTAATTTAGAGCCATGCCTAGGCTACTTCTAGTTTCAGTTTCCAAACAGTTCTCATTGGCTGACTTAGTTGCTATACCTATTCATTAGCTGACCTTGTTACCACGCTCTATTCCAGTTTCTGAATATACTGTGACACCCACACCCTGCAGCAAAGATGCCTAACTCCCCATCAACCCTGAAGTTGGCTGAACTGTGGCCATTTTTTTTTTGGTAGCTTTCCTTTAAGGAGTTTTCTTATTTTTTATTTTATTTATTTTGTCAAGTGATTATTAGATAACAGGTATAAGTATAAACATGGTTATGAATACATGAAATGGATATGAATAAGAAAAGAAAGAAACAATAGGACAGGGACAGTAGGCATGTTGGTGCACTTATGCACACCCCCTACAGACCTCTTAGGAAAGGGGTGAGGTCAATAGTAGACAGTCTAAGGTTAAAGTTTTTAGGGTTTGGGGAAGAAACCACAGAGTCAGGTACAGTATTCCAGACATTAACCACTCTGTTGCTGAAGTCGTATTTCCTGCAATCAAGTTTGGTGTGGTTTCTTCTCACAGCTTCAGAGCTGACACAGCCTGGAGTGAAGGGGCCAAGGGGGGGGGAGGCAGTAGTGGGATTCAATTTTTTAACTACCAGTTCTGTGGGCGTGGCTTGGTGGGTGTGGCAGGGGAAGGATACTGCAAAATCTCCATTCCCTCCCCGCCCCACTAACCTGCTTTTCACCTCCATTCTCCTGTGCAGGGCAACCAAAGAAGACCCAGCCAATCAGCTGGGACTTGGGAGGCAGAGAATAGATGGGGGCAGGGCCAGTCAGAGATGGTATTTGCCGGTTCTCTGAACTACTCAAAATTTCTGCTACTGGTTCTCAGAGCCAGCCAAATACCACCTCTGGTGGAGGACTCTTCTCATGAAATATCTCTGGACTCTCTCGATTGTATTAGTCTGATATGCAGTGTGCGTTCCAGACAGATGAGCTGTATTTGAGAATTGGTCTTGAAAATGTTTTGTATGCTCTAGTTAGTACAATATCAGCTACGAGGAATAGGTTAACAAATGTTAATGCCTTTTTGGCAATGTTGTTACAATGGGCTCTAGCACTTAGATCATTAGAGATGAGTACTCCAAGGTCCTTGGCAGGGTGGGGGTCATCTATGAGAGTGAAGAGTAGCAGTATTGTCAGTGTTGAATAGTTTTACATCATCAGCAAAAAGAATGCAGTTGCTTTTAATATGATCACAAAGGTCATTTATTAAGAAAGATAATAAAATAAAAAAGCAATAACTGTTTTACAATGAATAAATTAACTATTTTAAAATGAATAGAACCTCCTACTTTTAAATCATGGCTATATGAAGAACGGAGGAGTGCATGTTAATAAAACCATGAGGAAGAACACGGGTTGTCTCTTAATGCTTAAATATTTTCTCAATTACTTCCTCCAGACTTTATTAAGTAGAAAAGTCCCTTATTACAATGAGATATGTCAGAAGCAAAAAGAGGAACTAAAACAATAGTTATGTCTTCTACACCTGTTTGGAATGGGTCATTGATTTCATATTTACCTAAGTGAAGCTTAGATACTACTCAGCTAATCTTCATCTCAACCTCCATTTTTCCATGGATGCTGAGTATTTTCTTTTTAATTCCTTGTTTTTCTGTTTAGTCCTTGCCTCAGTCCAAATGTGTGGAAAGTTGTCATTCTGGATTTGTCAAGCGGGCTCGAGAAGGCGAGCCAGTTTGCTGCTATGACTGTGTTCCTTGTCCAGAGGGGACCATCTCCACTCAGGAAGGTGGGTAACACTGAAGAAAATGAACAGCCTTGTGGAAGTCAATCTATCCATAACACTTTGGTGAAACTACACATTGAAAGGCACATTGACTGTTCTGTTGATTATTTTCAAAATGCACAATTTCTTATCTAAAAGCATTATCTGCATATTGCCCCCAACAAATTGGGCCCCCTTTTTACTGACCTCAAAAGGATGGAAGGCTGAATCAACCTTGAACCAGTGAGGATTGAACTGCTGGCAGTCAGCAGAATTAGCCTGCAGTACTAACTTCTAACCACTGGGTCACAATGGCTCTTAATATTTAAAATATATATGTTGCTTTTCTGTTTTTCTCAGATACAGAAATATGCACCAAGTGTCTGGATGATAAATATCCAAATCAGGACCAAATTCAATGTATCCCCAAAATGATATCCTTCCTGTCTTATGAAGAATATTTGGGCATCATTCTAGTCTCTTTTTTGCTACTCTTATTTATAACTACAGGGTTTGTGTTAATCATATTCATTAAATACCAAGAAACTCCCATTGTCAAAGCCAACAATCGGGATCTCTCTTACATCCTCCTACTCTCCCTCCTGTTTTGTTTCTTGTCTCCTTTGCTCTTCATTGGTCAACCAAGGAAAGCTACTTGTCTTCTCCGGCAAACATTTTTCAGCATCATCTTCTCAGTTGCCATTTCTTCTCTCTTGGCCAAAACAATCACAGTGGTGCTGGCTTTCCTGGCTACAAAACCAGGAAACCGAGTGAAGAGATGGTTGGGGAAGAGCTTGGCCAACTCCATCATTCTTTCTTGTTCTTCTGTCCAAATTTTCATCTGTTCCATCTGGTTGGGAGTTTCTCCCCCATTCCCTGACTCCGACTTCCACTCCAAGCCTGGAGAGATCATCCTGCAATGCAACGAAGGGGCTGTTGTCATGTTCTACATCACCCTCAGCTACCTGGGCTTCCTGGCTGCCATCTGTTTCACAGTGGCTTTCCTGGCCAGGAAGCTCCCTGGGGCCTTCAACGAAGCCAAGCTGATCACCTTCAGCATGCTGGTCTTCTGCAGTGTCTGGGTTTCGTTTCTGCCCACCTACCTGAGCACCAAAGGGAAATACATGGTGGCTGTGCAGGTCTTCTCCATCTTGGCCTCCAGTGCTGGTCTGCTGTTCTGCGTCTTCATCCCCAAGTGCTACATTATCATTCTGAGGCCAGACTTCAATACAAAGGAGCATCTTACAACCAGGAGAAATTGTTAGGAATGTAAGTCACCTAACAGCTATTTGGGTTGGACAATATATAAACCAGGATAGACATTTTAATACTGCCTCTTTAAGAGAATACTAAATCTGTAATTGGGTGTGGTTTCTCAAACGGCCATAAAATGGAGCCAGAAGCCTGGGTTGTCTTAGTCTTAGTCTGAGAAGAAGTCTCAGTGAGTCTCTGTTTCCTTCTGTTGGAGAGTTTTGCCGTTCCTTCTAATGACTGATATTTTTGGATTTGATGTAAGTCTGATACTGAACTGTTTTTGACACTAGACTTTGTTACTAGATTACCCCTGAATTGAACACTGACTGCCTTACCTGTGAATGACTTTGGACTGCTTGTTTGAACTTTGCTTAAACGTTTCTTGAAGTAAAAACCTACATTTACTGGACAGTGTATCTGTGTGCTGTGTGTGTATTATTCAAACACTACTCTCAATATGTCTCCCTGTATGCGCCCATTCTCCTAACAAGGAATTATCTCAACAGAAATGTATAAATATGAGTTAGAGGAATTTTAAGCATCAACATTTTCCAACTCTCCACACATAAGGAAGTGGTCAAACTGCTCTCCATTCATAAGTGGGGCTGTAATTATGCTTGAAATAATTAAAAGGCTTTTGAAATAATGAATGGAGGTATCCCCAGCCATGTATAGTAAAATTCCAAAATGTCCACTGAGCCTTTTTGAATTCTCCAGGCAGTATATCTGTCTTATGAGCCTCTGTGGGGCAATGGTTAGAGTGCAGTACTGTATATATAGTGCTATATATATATATATATGTATACATTTCTTTTGAAGTTTGGCTCGAGGCTCATGATTTGATTAGATCATTTGTCGGAACCCTGACAATCACATTTTAAAATCCTAATCATGAAGCCTAAGCTTCCAGGAAATGCTCTTATAGTTATATATTATAGACCAATTTTGCTATTGAATGGTGATTATTAACTGTTTATATTAGTTTTGGCTGATAGATTAAACAATATTTTTCAAGAGTTTATTCATGAAGATCAAAGTCTATTGTTACATAAAAGACAAAAGACAATGTGAGAGTTGAATTGGATGTAATAGAATATTTACAACAAGATACTGAAAAATAAGCTGTGTTAATCTTCTTGGATACAGAGAAAACTTTCGTTTAAAGTCTGGATGATATGGACTTTATATCCATTTAGAGAATTTTATTCAAGGCCAGGGGAGGCTGAGAATTGGAATGAAAAAGGGGCCACAGACATTTAACCAACCTCCCTGATCAAAATAAACATTTAGACACAGACTGTTGCCTTAAATACATTCCAAAATGGTTTTGGGTTTTTTATAGCAGGAAACGACATGGGATCAAGCTCACCAGAACACATACGTATGATCTGTTATCCCTGGTCACAGATCAATAATTGTGAATCCCACTTCTGATACCAGTTTCTCTGGAATCAAAACACAGGACCCAAAGCAAAGAATCAGACCTCACTGCAGTGTTTATTAAACAATATATTAAACACATATATTTCATTTTATTATTAAAAAATAAAATACAGAACAGAAAAAAACCACATTCAGCACTAACAACAACAAATGAGAAAAAAAAGATTGTTGTACAAAAGAAAAAAAAGTGACCCAAGTGTGGGAAGAAAAGCTCATCCCGGGTTCATTCCTCCAGCCCGGATAGAGCCATCAGTGCTCAAGGACAAATAGGCAAGGATGCAAACTGCCAGGAAGAAGTTTAATTTTGGAAGCTGGAGAACAAGTGACAATTCAGCGATGGGGTCTGGTCTAGCTAGCTGACCAGTGAAACAGTTACTGGAGTTTTTATGCTGTCAGCGTTCCAGGAAAACAAACTCCGAAAGCAAAACTCCAAGACAGGCATTTTCTCAAAGTTCCATTTTATTTGAGCTGTCATGCTGGCACATGTGGGAAAACCTGAATATGAAAGTTCTGGGTTTTCCTCCAATAATTAAAAATTACAAATCCATCCCCTGCACTCATCTTTCCATCACATGCCCCAATCACCATCCTTTCCAACTTGAGACCTCTCTTCAACCACTCCTCATCCAGGTGCAGAAATAATATGACCTTGACTCTAAAGAAGAATGCTATTATGTCTAATTACAAACGCTCCATAAAATCCCCCCTCCCACATCCACAAGCTCAAGAATGTGGCAGCATGGAAGCTTCTGGTGCTAATATGGCTTCCAAAGCTGACAAAACCTTTTCTAGCTTTTGAGATTCAGATATTTCAATGGTGGTCTGATGGCGTTCCTTTTGATGGGATAATTTCTTCAGACTTGGTCATTCAGAGAGGAAGAGGTTAATCTTAGCCACTGGGAGGGGTGGAAATGAGTTTCAGTGTGCATAAGTGCACCATACGTGCCTCCTGTCCCTGTCCTATTGTCCCCTTTTAATCGTACCTATTTCTGTATTCTTACTCATGTTTATACTTATACCTATTATTTTGTAAGTGATTAACAAATCAAAATAAATAAATAAAAATAAAAAATATTGTGTTAATCCTGACGGCCTTAGCTAAAAGCAAAAGAAAGAACCGTCTCTGGCTGCATTCCTGTGGTTTCATAGTTTACTTTAAGTTAAACTCTTGCCTGAGGCCATTCTGCTAAGTGTCACGTGTCCAATCCTCCAAAACCAAGAAACAGAAATAAAAGGTTTGATTAACTGCTTTTTATTCTGGCAGGCCTGGAAACCTCAGCACATAGCAACCAAAACACCCTATCAAACCCTGCACCAGTAAACAGCAGTGTCCCCCAAGGCAGCATTCTAGGACCCACACTCTTTACACTCTAAATAAATGAACTTTGCAATCACCTTATAAGCAACTGCGTTCTCTTTGGGGATTACATAAATCTATTCAACACCACTGACAATGCTACCATCCTTCAAAGCAACCTTGATTATGTGTCTGAATGGTCAAATAATTGGCAACTCCAAATCTCGACCAACAAATGCTACACATTGGTAAAAAAAATCAGTACACCAAATACAAGCTAGGTGGATATGACCTCGTTGATGATCCTCACTCTGTCAAGGACCTTGGAGTTCTCATATCAAATGATCTAAGCACCAAAGCTCACTGTAATAACATTGTCAAAAAAACTTCAAGAGTTGTAAATCTAATCTTAAGAAGTTTCTCCTCTGGTAATACTGAATTACTCAAAAGAAAAAAAAACATGTACTGGGAGTGCAGTCTTATCCAAAAGACAAGAACAATTGAGAAAGCAGGGTTGACTCAGTAGTAAGGCCACACCTCGGAGATGATTGGCCCCTCCCATAGGACATAAAAGAGGAGCAATGAATGATCCATCCATATTTATAAATAATAGCATAATAAATCTCTGGTTACTTCCTGCCCTTGGGTTATCTGCAAAGAAAAGTAGTCTCAGATATGAGAAATATTTGCATCTTCAGTCACTAGGAGCTGCAAGGCTACATTCCTTATGTCTCCATTTGCCTACAAAACAGTCTCATTCATTCACAAACTGATTTTACCAACACTATTGTGATTAAAAATAAAAGTTGGTATATTGTTATTGGTTTTTTTTTAGGAATATAGAGGAAAATAAATATGAATAGTTTTAGGAATATGAGGAATACCTTCCCCTCATGTGCATCTTGCTTCCTTCCTTCCCATCTTTGTCAATTTTAAACAAATGTTGTACTATTTATTATTTTAGTCATTCTTTTTTCTTGATTGTAAGCTGTGTAGAGTCATTTATAGCCAAAATGGGCAGCATTTAGGTTTAATAAACAAACAAACAAACATTTAATGATTGAAAACTATTAATCAAGCCCACTAAACTAAATGACATTTTTTGAAGAATAATAGATCTGTAAAAGTCATTTTAAATTTTATTTTGAGATCAAATGTTCTTTGGTATTCAGATCTGGCCTAAAAATAATGATGTAGCACTTGGGGATGAAGAGGCAGCCCAGCAAGCCAGCACTGGAGGCCAAGATGGAGAAGACCTGCACAGCCACTGCGTACTTCCCCTTGGTGCTCAAGTAGGCTGGCACAAAGGACACCCAGACATTACAGAAGACCAGCATGCTGAAGGAGATCAGTTTGGCTTCATTGAATGCTCCAGGGAGATTCCTGACCAGAAAAGCCACTGTGAAGCAGATGGTGGACAGGAAGCCCGTGTAACCAAGGGCACCATAGAACATGGCAACAGAGCCTTCATTGCATTGTAGGATGAGCTCTCTAGATTGGGAGTGCATGTCAGGGAATGGGGGGAAAGTGCCCAGCCAGATCTGCAGATGACAACTAGGAGGCCAGAACAAGAAAGGACAATGGACTTGGCCAAGCTCTTCCCCAGCAACCTCTGCACTTTATTCCCTGGTTTAGTTGACAACTTTGACAATCTAGTTGACAACTTTGTTGTCCAAAAGGTAGAGGGGGGAACTAGAGGGACATCCATCTTGGACTTAATTCTTACAAACATAAAAGAAGTGATAAAGGGAATTGAAACTGCAGGAACCTTGGGTAAGAATCACCATGTCATACTAGAATTCAATATATCGCAAATATAAGCAATAGAACATAATGATAGCAGAGTCTTAGATTTTAAAAGAGCTGATTTTAATAAAATCAGAGAGAACTTGGGAAAGATTCCTTGGATGACAATTGTAAAGGGAAAAACAACTCAAGAACCTTGGGAAACTCTGAAAAGTATGATCATAAAAGCCCAGACTAGCACAATACCACTGAGAAAGATAAACAAGAAATCCAAGAAGAAATCAGCATGCTTGCATATAGATCTTTCTCTGATAAACTGAAAGATAAAATGAACAGGTACAAAGAATGGAAAGAGGGACACATAACTAAGGCAGAATATCAGCAAATAGACTGTATCTGCAAATATGAAGTCAGGAAAGTAAAGACTTAGAATGAACAAAGACTTGCAACAAAAATCAAAGATAGTAACAATTTTTTTCAACACAAGAAAAAAGGAAACAGTCCATCAAAAGGAGAAGATGGCAT